GGGTAGGTGTTAAATTGCTAACCACAAGTTTGGCAGTTCAAACCCACCAGCTCTCCTGAAAAGATTTACAAAGCCTCAGAGACCCTGGACAGGGTGGCGATGAGTTGGAATCGACTCGATGGCGGTGGGTGGGTTTTGGATAATGTCAGAACCAGAAGTGCCCTTGGAGTCTGGCTTTCAGTCCACTCGCCTGAGAACACTTTATTCAAACAAAATTTTACTTAAAACTACCTTCATTATATGAAACACAAAACCCAGGTGCTCTGGGCACAGAGGGAGGAGGAACCCAAGCTCTGCCGAAACTGCAGTTTGAAAAGAGAACCTGACCCGGTCCAAGGCTGAGGCCCTCTCCGTACCCCCATCCACCCCCATCTTATTTCCTGATGGGAAGATGGGCCTGGGGTTGCTCAAGACCTCCTAAGAAGAAGCCTGGTCATCCTCAGCTTAAGCAACCTGTGCTCCGGGAAGAGACGTGGGGAGAAGCTGTGGGTTCTCGTGCAGTCTGTGGGCCATCAGTTCTTGAAGAGAGGAAGTACAAGCTGAGCAGCCTTGGTGGCGGGGAAAGGGCAGGCAGACCGGGGCCCATGTGGTCAGGAAGCTGCGCTCTACAGAACAATGCCTCTCTGCCTGGTGCCAGGGATGTTCCATGAGGCCCTAGAAACCCCAGTCACCCCATGCGAAACTGCTCTTTAAGGACGACAGCCCCAAACCATGGGCTGAGCCTCCCTCTGCTAGCCTTCTTCAACCCTCTTGCTCTGAAGACTTAGGATCACAAGAGACCGAGGAGAACGGTGGGCTGAGTGCAGGATCCAGGGGAGGTAGCCAGGCAATGGGGTAATGCCTCACTGAGTCTCGCTTGCCTCCTGGGGATGCCGGGAGAGCGCTAGCTGGGTGACTCCCGGCAGGCCTTCCATGAGCCAGGTGTGTCCACGCATGTTGAAGCAGGAGGGCCTTCAGAGAGGTTCTCCAAGTGGCGCCCGGGAAGCCCACGGAGTGTTGGGAGGCTCGCTGAAACGTGGATTCTGTGGTCAAGAAGTTGGGAGAAGAGTGGAATTCGGTCCAGCACAGTTCAACACTTGTCCTTCCTGCCATTTGCCTTCTTGCTGAGCTTCCTGCAGGAGCGTGTCTGTAGAGGACCTTTAGGGAAGTGCTCCTTTGCAACAGTCTTGTTTCTATTTGGAAGGAATGTTATAGGAGCCAGTACTTGGTGAGGTGCCATGGTGGCGGGAGTGGTAACGCCGTGTATAGGCTGCTGATCAGTCTGAAACCACCAGCTGCTCCTTGGGGGAAAGACGAGGCTTTCTAAGCCCACAAAGAGTTACCATCTCTGAAACCCAGCAGCGCAGTTCTGCACCATCCACTGGGGTTGTCATCAGTCGGAATCACTCGACGGCAGTGAGTTTGTTTTTGTTTCTGTCTTGTGATGGGCACTAGTCTGAAAAGGGCTACTTACCCCTAACTCGTTTAATTATATGAGGAAAGTACTCGTCTTGACCTTATTTACAGACCAGAAGCAGAGGCACAGAGAGTCTAAGTAACCTGCCAACCTTGCACAGCTAGGATGTCGCCCAGGTCGAGTGGCGTCAGATCCGGTGTTCATGGCCATCCTTCCTGCACAGCCACTCAGGGCAGCACATGGGGCCCAGGTCACACAGTGAGTCAGAGCCGCGTAGGGACTAGAGCGCGGGCCTTTGTGCCAACCACTCATGTGACACAAGGATACTGGGCACTAAGGTGTGCCGGTAAGAGTAGCCGCTGTCCTTTGCAACGGGCGAGCAGAAAGAAGATGGAAGTGCAGCAGCAGATGTCGATACAGTCACTGTGCGGAAAGAAGGAAGGAACTGCGGTGGGGGTAAAGGACAGCGGGTCTCAGCCTCAGCCCACAGCCACGAGGAGCCCCTCCCCAGGATCGTCCGTAACCACAAGTCAGCAGCTGGAGAAAAAGCTACGTGACATGAACACAGGAAACAAACAGGACTGGCCTGAGGAGCAACAGGCAAGGCCACAACCCAGGCGCAAACCGCCGGAGACAGGGCTGGGAGGGGAGGACACTGGGGGGCACATGGGTGTGGATGTGCAGCTGCTGTTCCACCTGGATCGACCAGGCAGAATAAGTTCCAGAGTGATCTGCTGGGTTTAGTGAACGGTGCCTGGCCTGGGAGTCCTGGTTTTAGCCTGGCACCGTGGGGTAGTCACAAGTCCTGCAACGGCAAATGGCACCGTGAGGAGAGAGAGCACGTCTCCTTAGAATCTTCAGGGTCCTTATTAAACATGCAGGTGGGTCACCTCAGACCCCTGCATCAGGACTCAGGAGTGGAGTCGCCAAAGGAGGCGCGGCCAACAGAAGGCGCTCCTGCCTGGAGCTGCCTCCCAGCTCTGCCAGGGACCAGCTGCAGGCCCTTGAGCTACTGCCACCCACAGGGTGCCCTCTGGTCTCCGTCTCATCTGTTAGATACGGGAGGGGGGAGGCGGGGCAGGGGGGGCCCTCTAGGCTCCCTCTCTGTAGGCTCGGCCCCACTCACACTCACTCACAGCAATCAAGCGACCCTGAGCCCTCAAGGCCCGACAGGAAAGGCTAGAACTGCCTTTGGCCTTACAGACTTTCAAATCTGTACAGGAGACAGCCCACCTTTCTCTCGGGGAGCGGCTGGTGGGGTTGAACCACTGGGCCTGCAGTTAGGAGTTCAGTGCGGAGCCCACTGCACGCGCCCATGAAATTGGTGCGGGCAGGTTCCCAGCTTGAGCGCCACTCCTATCCTACCCCACCTCCACTCAAGAGCGACTGTGCTTCTGGGGTGAGTGTTTGGGGTTGGTTGGGTTTTCTGGCTGAGCTCACCCCCTGCATGCAGACGTGGGCATTGCAACACTGGCCTTGGCTACTGCCGTCACTGAGTCATCTTTGATTCATAGCCTCCCCGTGTCAAGAACGGGCTTCCGCCTCTGTCACATGGTTCACTAGGAGCCGGAACTGGCTTGATGGCACCAACGCCACTGTGGCCACCAAGCCCCAGAGGAGTCCAGGTGGTGCAGAGTTCAGCACCAGGCTGCTGCCTGAAAGGCTGGTGGGTCGAAGTGACCCAGCAGTATCCTGGGAGAGAGGCCGCACGAGCTATTCCTGTGAGGAGTGCAACTGCCCCGTAGGGGTTTCCTGCCTGGCATCTTTATGGAAACGGCTTGCAGGTCTTCCTCCTACGGAGCTCCTGGGCACACACACACTGCCAGTCTTACAGCGAACAGCCCAGCTTGGCAGAGACTGGGAAACCGACCTGCTTGTTCTACCCCCTGCATTCAGCAAGACAAGCCTTTCCCTTCATGTCTCCAAGCCCCGCCTGTACCGACGCGGGGCCCAAGCGCATTCATTGGAGGGTCTGGGTCTGCTGAGGGACCCCGTGTGCCTGCACGACACTCACCTGCCAGCCTGCTGCGCAGCCGTCGCTAAGGCATCTCGGACAGGTGGGTGCTGTTGTTAATCGGCTTAAATAAGCGTAATCAGAGAGCCAGAGATCTTTCCGGGAAGGCTGTGCTGTGCTCAAACCTCAACAGGCGTAACGAGCACGCAGGGCGTTTCTGGGGCAGGTGTCTGTGCGACCACACGTGGAGAAATGGGCTGAACCGGGGATGCCTCCCTCGAGGGGGTTGTCAAGTAAATTCGGCCATGGTCTCCAAATGGAAACTGCTGCCGTCGTTTAAGACATCGCGCAGAAGTTAACCCTAAAGCAGCCCCCTCACTCCTCATGTGAAGGGGGGGCTTGCTCATGGCAAAAAGTTAACAACATACCGTAACAAAGAAAACAAAGGTCACTTTCCGTCCTTACTACCCCTGCGTCTCCCATTAGGATTGTGAGAAGAATGATTTGTTAACATGGGAAATGTTC